AGCGTGAGGTCTGACAATGGGTCCAAGGATTTTATCCCGATACCTAATGGGAGTCAACGTGCTGTTGTCTAGCCTTTAGAGGTCTGTGCGTCCCTCCATGGATATGCCTCCCCAGCCCATCACTGACCCACCCCCAAACCGGTCATGCTGAACAATGTTACAAGCAACATAACATTCTCCATGGCTTCTCCAGACCCTTTCACGATTGTCATATGTGCTGAGGGTGAACCTGCTCTCATCTGTGAATAGCACAGGGCGCCAGTGGTGGACCTGCCAATTCTGGTATTCTATGGCAAATGCCAATCGAGCTCCACGGTGCCAGGCAGTGAATACAGGGCCCATTAGAGGACTTCGGGTCCTCAGGACACCTTCATGAAGTCTGTTTCTGATTGTTTGGTCAGAGACATGCACACCAGTGGCCTGCTGGAGGTCATTCTGTTGGGCTCTGGCAGTGCTCATCCTGTTCCTCCTTGCGCAAAGCAGCAGATATCGGTCCTGCTGATGGGTTAAGGACCTTCTACGCCCTGTCCAGCTCTCCTAGGGTAACTGCCTGTGTCCTGGAATCTCCTCCATGCCCTTGAGACTGTGCTGGGAGACACAGCAAACCTTCTGGCAATGGCATTGAGTAGTGTATTTTATAATGTATTAAGTACCAATTAAAGTGTATTACAATTGTGTATGTGTCTTATTTCAAAAAGATATAAAAAGTGATATAGGTAATGTTTTCTCATTTGTTTTATAATTTTAGGTTTGTAATGGAATAATATATTTGCCGTAAGATTTTGCGTGAACATGAGTCTTCTGAGTTGGCAAGTCTGACAACGTACGTTTTTTGTTTCACCTGAGTTGATTTGTATAAAAAATCATTACTTTATACAGTTCTTACAAAACGCGAACCTCAATGAACATGAAATCGCTAATAAGCTACCTCTATTTATCCAACATTTTATAAAATACTGCGTTTGAATGTTTTGCCGCTGTACGATTTCAGGAGCAGTCACTCTGTTAGGAACATTACTACTTTTCGTTGAGGGTGTTAGATTTGCTGCTGTTATCAACACTAATAGCACATTAGCGCAGACAAGGGCTGCATACTCCGAAGTACGTCTTGCTTGGAAGCTGAAGTAGTTTGATGTTCATTAGCATGGGAAATGGGAGATTCTTGGGTTAACTGGGCTTAAGTTGGGTTAAGTTGTGCCTTTTACCACACCTTGTATGAAGACTGGCGCATTTATGTGCCGATTTAGCGAATATGTTACTTTTTAATTTGGTATTGTATATATGTAACCAAGTTATTTTGTTTAATGCATATAATTACACAAAATCTGTTTATTCTGAATTTAATTTGCTATGACAGAGTGTCAGAGTGTGTTTGATAGAAAATTCAAACACAGATAAACCAGTTACATAGACTGTATAAGAAAGTACAGACGCTCCTCGACTTACGTATGAGTTGCGTGAATGACTTCGTAACTTGAGGTATTCGAAGTCATTTTAAGCGTATATGCAAGTACAAAGAAATAGGATGCTGGGAGTACACATGCTACACTGCTGCACACCTGGAGTAGCGGGCAGAAGTCGTACGAGGCGGAATTGGTGGACAGAAAAAAAAGATTTTGCTGACAGGAAACGGGAGTCCAAGGAACACAATTTGGACTTACAGTCCTCTTCGTTCGTATGTCTGAAAGTTCGTAAGTAGAGGAGCGTCTGTATTCAGATTATGCCACAGACCAGGGAAGGAGGATCTGTTTGTGCTCTACGCTGGCTGTTGCTGGTTGTGCATTGTGACACTGATTAACTGACATAGTCTCACTGCGTTTGATCAAATTTTTTTCAGCAGACGCCTTCCTGCAGTACAAACAGCTGCCACACGAACCAGAAGCCTTCCCAGCTGGGTGTTGGAGAGGTGAAAGAAGAGGAGCAGGAACACCTGATATCTGAGGGTGAAGGAACTACGACCGAGAGCCTCCCCAAGGTGAAATGGAGGGTATGTGGGGTTGTAAACTACTTCAAAATGGTGACGCTGCTGAAGTTTTTGTATGATAGGGCTGGTTAATACTCGACGCCCACAATGCTTACGTACACTTTTTCTATGCAAGTAGTGTTGCTGCTTATACTTGCGTGTGTATTTTTCTGTCAATCTGAAGGGTTAAAAGTTATGTCCTCCAGGGGGCACAGTCACTTTACTACCTCATGTTAAATGGCGTATTATATGCCATTTAGGGCTTGAACGATTTATTGATTTCTAATCAAAATCGTGATTTGAAACAATGCGATTAACAAATCGCAAAGGCGGTGATTTAGAATATGCATCATACAGCACGATCTTACCCAGGGTCCTCGTGTGCCAGTCATGGTCACCAAAGGTGACTGGATACACGCGCACAAGCAACAAACACATGAAACCCAAGGAAAACATTGGCGGTGCAAAAAAATATTGATTCCAATGCTGAGCTATAAGTGAATTACCTGCCTATGTCATGGTCAGAGATTGTTTATAGAAAGGTCCTATTATTAGGTGCCCAGTAGTGTTAGCTGCAGGATCCCTATTGTTTTTTTTCCCGTACTACAATTGTTTTATTTTTAGTATTACTACTTTATTTAATTTAATTCACAGCTTTTGTGATGATTGTTCTCTGCTGAGCACAGAGGAGCGTGGTCCGTGCAATGGTTCAGACTTTTTTTTTTTTTGTAGCATTTAAACACAAAATGAACAGGATAAAACAAGAAGAGCAAATACTGTACTAAACACATCTAAGCACATTTATCAAAATAGTAATTTGTAAAGTAGGAAAATAAATGTATCCAAACAATATGTAAAATAAAAAAAAATGTAACCTTGTTAACCTTGTGTGGAATCCCCGTGTGATCAGCTGTTTCTGGTTTTTGTCATCTGTATTTAGTCCACGTTTCAGTTTGCTTCCCCAGTCCGGTCATTTTATTTTCTGTCTGTGTTTTGCCTGCCTTACCTGTAATTAAACCCCGTATTCCCCGATACCCTGACGTCTGCGCCTTTGTCTCCATTCCGTCCCCACTCGGCACGACAATATTATTATAATTAAATGTATTAATGGTTTATTATTAATTATATTAAATTAATTATTATTATTAAAAAATCTTTATTTTTAAATGTGTTTTATTATATAATAATTACTGTTACTGTCTATCATTGTCTAAATGTATTTTTACTGTCTAAATATATGTATTCAGCTTGTGTAAACATGCATGATGCTATCACAGCGAATGCGAGGCTGAGACTGAAGCGTTAATATTAACAAACATTAATATCTCAGAAAGTAAAATGGCAAAAACGATTGAGACCTGGCATATGGGAGGCCAGCTTCACGGCGGTGGTACACTTAGCTAAGGACGTTTCAGAGAACCCTTAGGAATGTTAAGGTACAGCTTAAGGTAGGACTTGCGAATAACTTAGCCATAAGAAGGTTTCTGAAAACTCACCCCAGAACTGTATTAAAAATTATGAAAATGCCTTATACTGCGGTATAATGTATGTACAGTATGATGGTATGCAAAAGTCTGATCAAACCCAGTTAACTGTTGTAGTATTTGCGATGTGAGAATTGCATGTGTTTATTTTACAATGCTGATATTAATACTGCACATCTTCA